GCTACCCAAACACCGCCCCTCCGGAATTCCACTTCCCTTCTGCCCCTGCCTGGTCCTCTGGGCTGGAACAGACACAGAGTTGGTCTGCTCCTGTCCTGTGGAGAAACTGAATCCTGAGTCATCCAGGAGCCACTGCACTCAGAGCAGGTGACACAGAGTCGGTCTGCTCCTGTCCTGTTGAGAAACTGAATCCTGAGTCATCCAGGAGCCACTGCACTCAGAGCAGCTGGAGCCACTGCACTCAGAGCAGCTGAAACTGAATCCTGAGTCATCGAGGACCCACTGCACTCAGAGCAGAAGGATTTCCAGATCCAAGAGGTGGCCTGAGTCCCAGGAGTTATTCCACCCAGGAGATTAGGAGCATAAGACCACAGAGACCTCTGGTCTCTGAGGAGCTCTGCAATAAGCAAGATAACTGGAAATACAGACTCCAGTTTTACACAGTGAGAGCAGGTACCACTAGAGTTAACCAGATGGCGAAAGGCAAGCGCAAGAACATAAGCAACGGAAACCAAAGTTTCTTGGCATCATCAGTGCCCAATTCTCCCAATATAGCAAGCCCTGAACACCCCATCACACCTGAAAAGCAGGATTCAGAATTAAAATCACTTCTCATGATGATGATAGAGGATTATAAGAAGGAATTAAGTAACTCCCTTAAAGAAATACAGGAGAGTACAAGTAAACAGATAGAAGCCCTTAAAGAGGAATCACAGAAATCCCTTAAAGAAATGGAAGAAAACACAAAGAAGGAGTTAAACAAAAACATTCAGGACCTGAAACTAGAAATAGAAACAATAAAGAAAGTTCAAAGGGAGACAACCATGGAGATAGAAAACCTAAGAAAGAGATCAGGAGTCACAGACGCAAGCATCACCAACCGAATACAAGAGATAGAAGAGAGAATCTCAAATGCAGAAGATACGGTGGAAAATATTGACACAGTTGTCAAAGAAAATGAAAAAAGCAAAAAACTCCTAACTCAAAACATCCAGGAAATCCAGGACACAATGAGAAGACCAAACCTAAGGATAATAGGTATAGATGAGAATGAAGATTCCCAACTTAAAGGGCCAGTAAATATCTTCAACAAAATCATTGAGGAAAATTTCCCTAACCTAAAGAACAAGATGCCCATAAACATACAAGAAGCCTACAGAACACCAAATAGACTAGACCAGAAAAGAAATACCTCCCGTCACATAATAATCAAAACATCAGATGCACAAAACAAAGAAAAAATACTAAAAGCAGTAAGGGAAAAAGGTCAAGTAACATATAAAGGCAGACCTATAAGAATTACACCAGACTTCTCACCAGAGACTATAAAAGCCAGAAGAGCCTGGACGGACATCATACAGACACTAAGAGAACACAATTGCCAGCCCAGATTACTATACCCAGCAAAACTCTCAATCACTATAGATGGTGAAACCAAGATATTCCATGACAAAACCAAATTTGCACAATATCTTCCCACAAACCCAGCACTTCAAAGGATAATTGATGGAAAATGCCAACACAAGGAGGGAAACTACAACCTAGGAAAAGCAAGTAAGTAATCTTCCAACAACCCCCAAAAAAGATACAAACATAACTTTACCTCTAATAAAAAAAATAACAGGAAGCAACAATCATTTTTCCTTAATATCTCTTAACATCAATGGTCTCAATTCCCCAATAAAAAGACGCAGACTATCAGACTGGATACACAAACAAGACCCAGAATTTTGCTGCATACAAGAAACGCACCTCAGTGACAAAGACAGACACTACCTCAGAATAAAAGGGTGGAAAACAATTTTTTCAAGCCAATGGTCCCAAGAAACAAGCTGGAGTAGCCATTCTAATATCAAATAAAATCGACTTTCATCCAAAACTAATCAAAAAAGATAAGGAAGGACACTTCATACTCATCAAAGGAAAAATCTACCAAGGTGAACTCTCAATTCTGAACATCTACGCTCCAAATGCAAGGGCACCTACATACATAAAAGAAACTTTACTAAAGCTCAAAACACACATTACACCTCACACAATAATAGTGGGGGATTTCAACACCCCACTGTCAGCAATGGACAGATCATGGAAACAGAAACTAAACAGAGACACTTTGAAATTAACAGAAGTTATGAACCAAATGGACTTAACAGACATCTATAGAACATTTCATCCTAAAACAAAAGAATATACCTTTTTCTCAGCACCTCATGGTACCTTCTCCAAAATAGACCATATAATTGGTCACAAAACAAGCCTCTACAGATACAAAAAGATTGAAATAATCCCTTGC